AGTGTAAATTCGTCCCTTTCTTTATTTATATATTGTCTTTAGGTAGGTACTCCTTATTTGAACAATACCCAAAAATCAATGTGTTTTAATAAGACCATCTTCACTGTAATGTCAAATTGCTTAGCACGTGCGACTGAGAGGAAATTGTTTCACCTTTTGACGTAGCAAAATGAAGACTTGTAAAGATAAAGGGTTCAAGGTCATGTCAATTTGTTTAGAGGTCAGTCCTTTAGTAAATTATTAAGTAAGAGTCACGTGTATTGATTTAGTTACGATGCTTAGACAATTGTTGATCAGATATAGATTGACTGGACGTCTCAAGCTTTTGTCTCAACCCTCGTACGATATTTTAATTTGGTCACCTTTCTAGCCACGATTTTTTTAAGGGTGGAAACTCATCGAATGACTTCTCCCGCCTAGGTGAGGCGGGAGGGAATGTCTGACTTACTGACTATAAACCACCCCATTCTTTCTCCTGCACGTCGAGCCGGAGCCCTGGCAACCCGTTAAGTCCTCCACGGCTTCGTATCGGCATCAGGCCTATTGGGCCCCATCTGTAGTAGTCTGATTACCACGATAGGGGCTCATGTAGAGTCACCATATCAAACAGTTTTACATGGTTATCTAAATCGTCAAACATAATTAATATCAACTTTCGTTACATATAAATTAAGTTTTTATAATAACTATCGTGAGACATACTAAATTAACTAAAAATCGCGGGTTACTTAAGTGAATATACTGAGAAAAGCACTACTAGTTTCGAACCGCAGAGGGATTCTTCGTCATGAGCAGCGTGCGCGGTGGCGGCGTTGTCGCGCAGCCTACATTAATTTTTTTTTAAATAAAGTTTTTAGAATTTTCGGAAATAATACTGTTTTCATTATTTCTAGAGAAATTTTTTATTTCGTTTTTTGTTTTGAAATTGTTTTAACATTCATTCCTACAGAAAAATAACTATTACTGTATCGCAGCGGGAGCCAAATTTTTCCCCATCCATTTCTGAACCATCATCAAAGTTCCAGATTATTTGATTAAAGCTCTGAACAGGGTACGTCGAGAACACTTTAGCCCGCATGCCTTATCCACAGTCCCAAATGTGATCAAAGCTAGATCCGCTATTAATTTCTAACCAAATTATTACAACCGCTATCTTCTCAGCGCAACTTCGTCCGGTGGAGAGTCCGGTGTCCGGCCAAGCGCTACCAATTTCCGGCCACTCTCACATCGATGATTGCGGGTACTACGATCCGAATCACATAGAAATAAATCACTGGTTGCCTTACCTATCGTACGTGTATTAATGTAAAAAGGATATTTTCTGTGTTTATAATAAGAAAATGTGTTCTTAATGTTTTTTTTATGGCATAAGCCGGTAAACGAGCAGACGGATCACCTGATGGGAAGCAATCGGCGTCGCCCATGGACACCTGGAACACCAGAAGCGTTACAAGTGCGTTACCGGCCTTTTGATTACGATCCTCATCGTTGGGGATTCAGGAATTGCGGAGATTGGGGAAGGGGAGGGTAATTGGGCCTCCGGTAACCTCACTCACCCGACGAAATACAACGCAAGCGTTGCTTCACGTCGGTTTTCTGTGAGGCCGTGGTATCACTTCGGTCGAGCCGGCACATTTCCCATTTGTTTTTCAGTGATGCGATATACTATTAACTTTAGATTTGTGAAGAATTTATTGTAGCAGTAAGTTTAGATTAGTTTACATTTTGCTAAAAGTATAACTTGATACCGAAAGTTTAGTAATGATGCAATTGTAATTGAAAACAGAAGTTACTCGATCATTTCGGATTTTAAAAGGAGCATTTCAATAAAAAGTAAAAGAACATCGTGCCCTCCTTTTGTTAGTAAAGACCGTAAAATAAAGAAAGTCAAGTGAATACTTGGAAATTCCAAACAATGAAAGAAATCAGAAAACTTTTCCAATAGGTTTCGATTGAAAAAACTTTTATGTACTTTAATGAATAAGATATTAGTTGAAAAATAAGTAGTTTTTTTCCTTTACTCGCAGTTACTTTGTGTCCCATCTTTTGACCTTTTGTGAATTAAGTCGCTGAATCTTTTTTTCTCAATCCACTATTGGAAGAATATGTATTTGTATTGAATGCTTACGTCTACGTATATAGGTATAGTTATTTACTCGTTCAATTAGAATTCACAAACGATTTTGAGAAAGTATAGGCGAGTTAGTATCAAGACCATTATAATGAGTGCACACCAAATATTTTGTACTTTAAAATGTCAACCAAAACCTTTAATCAAAACGAAAATAGCAACTACGTCTCCATTTTATAAATTAAACATCGCAACACAAAACCTCATTAATTAACTGACTATAAATCAACATCAAAAACATAAATCAATCAACAAACTAACGTCAAAGAAGGCTTTAGTTCATTGAATACCAAACAATTCTTACTATAACCAATAACGACGAAACTTGGTCTAGTCTACGCACAATAATACCCCATCTATTCTAAAATGTTCTGTAATCAAGAAAGGAAACATTCAGTTTAAATTGGAATAGTTCACCAAGCCGTTCGAAGGGGTTAGTAATTTACTAACTGAAGGAGTTAACTGTGTTAATGAAAATTGCCTACGATAAGATCTGATGTCTGAGTTATTGAATATGAGGGCTGTGATGAGAGAAGATAGAAGTCGAAGGGATAAGTTATGGGTACCTTTTATGACTTGTATTAGGTTTTATAGGTCCTTGTGTGAAGTTCTGTTTAACTGGGTTAAATTTGAATGCTGATGATGAATAGACAAGAACGTGATGTGAAGACTTGGGTCTTGAGGAGCACAATAATAAAATGGTACAATAATATGGCACAATAATAGTTTTTTTTTTAATATATATTTGATGGGGCGACGTTTGACCACTACCTCGCCTGGTGGTAAGCGATGATGCGGTCTACGATGGAGCACGTCGTCCCATAAGCAACCTATTCACTCGGGCCTTGAAGACTCCCAGGTTATACCCTTCAGGAAATACAGACTCTGGCAAAGAATTCCACTCTTTAGCAGTACGCACAAGGAAGCTTGAAGCGAAGCGCTTCGTGCGTGTGGGCGGAACATCTACCATGAATCGGTGACGCTTCGCCGATAATTATACCTCTAAGTCTTGTTTGATTTAGTTGGTATCGACACTAAGTTTGGTAGGCCGTATACTAGTGTATGAAATGATATTTTGTAAATAATGATTTTAAATCATAAATGGGGGCATTGCATGAATGCATTGTTATTGGTTCATAATAAAGAACTTTAAATGAAAAATTTCTGTGAAATCGCATTGTTACAGTTTGTATGGATACTGAAAACATAAAATTTCAAATTAATAATTGCATTTTGGTACTGTTTGCATATGTTTGCACAAGCCATTATTAAAATAAATAAAATGTTTCATTGCATATTGTTGAAGGAATATAATACAAAATATCTTCACAAAACTTACATAGCAATAAAATACCTTTTCATCTTTAGTATCTAATTAATTAATTTTCTTACATAATTACCTTTAGAAGTCTCAGGAGAAATCGAGTGTGGTCGAATAATTTACTACTGGCCTTTGTAAATTAGTGTCACAATATACGGCGGACAATTTGCGGTTTCAGACCTATTTGGTACCTGAGATGAGGTTACACGGGATATTGGAGATCTTAATTAATTATCGGATAACCTACAACTGTAATTAATAGGTCTATGAAAAAAGTAAGTGTTGTGGTTTATTACTTGTATCGAAAGAAAAAAGTGTCGTCTAGTAGTATACTCGTATAATGTAGTATATAATATATAGCTTCGTTGATGATAATTATGAAAAATATAGTTACCTACCCAACAAGCGCCACTGTCGAGCAAGAGTTCTAGGGTTTAATTTCAGAGTCGAGTAAAGTATTATTGGGTATTGGGTTTTTAAAACTGCCTTGCTGGCTGAGTGGTCTCAAGTGCAACTGCCGGGCAAGGGGTCTCGGGTTTGATTCCCGGGTCGGGCAAAGTACATATTACTGGGTTTTCTGAAAAAAATCTCAGTGTAGCAAAGAGTCTGGAATTGTGCCCGGTATATGGCTCACCCCCTATTACACGAGACTCATAAATAGTGAAAAATTGATGTTACATTGTACAGTAGCATTAAGTGCCATAGTGTGCACCTCTGCAAGAGGTAGCCCATCAGGGATAAAATGGCGTGATGTTATGATGTTGTCGGTTTATATACCTTTTCAGTACTAATACAGACATTCGCAAATAGCATTAGTTTTGCACCGTAGTAATAGGCCAATATAGACCGTACTATCGTCCCTATCATCAGCAGGCAGAGAGCAAGAGCAAAATATCAGAGAATCAAAGGGTCTTATCTAAAAAAAACACATTGAATAACAAAAACGTAAAATCCGAAAATCTCATCCAACAACACCATATATTTTTCGGAACGACCATTTTAAAAATTGCTTTTAAACAACAAGGCAAAAAGCGAGTGATCCGATTAATTCACAACTAAAATTCCCCGCGGCACATTTATGACTTTATTCTGCAAAATAATCCTATCTAGCTTTCAGTGTTACATTAGTTACATTTAACGCTTCGGTGATTATTACTGTGTTAAGTGAATTTACAAGGATATACGTTGCTTCGTTATTTTATGTTTTGGGTTGTTACATCTTCATTACTAAGATTTTAAATTCTTGTTTTATACTCTTGTCTTATATGGAAAATTTTTGACATTACTTTGCGAAGATTGTCGGTTTCCGAAAATATCATGTAAGGCAGTGTAATTTTGAAGGGCAGATGAGAGTCTTTGGTCGTCCGTAAAATGCCTTAAATGTATTGCATGATTTTCAAATGGACCGATTTCTTTATTAAGTTACTGAGCAGCACTTGATAACTTACTATATTGCTGAATGCGGTGTTCCAATGTGACCTACCTATCCTACCAATAATTATCCAAAAAGGTATTTTTTAAACCTTATCTACTGTTACCTTGTTACAGGTTGTTCATGTATCCGCTACACGTCGACGTATGGCAAGGAGCGCGGCACGTTCAGCAGCCCCGACTACCCGCGCCCCTACCCGCCTCGCATCGACTGCCTCCTCTACACCTTCGTCGCGGCGCCCCACGAGATTGTCGAACTCGTCTTCACCGACTTCGACATTTTCAAGGACCATCTTGAGTGAGTATTTAGATTTAAGTCTTATAGAGAATCTACGTCAAAGTGTGAATTTTAATAAATATTTGTTTTGTAAACTGTGACGTTTCTTGAAAACTTTATTCAGGTGTAAAATATGCTTCAGCTTCTTTTAGGTGTTTATGAATTTTTGACCAGCGTTACGACTAATTTTGTTAATATTCTTATTTAAATAACCTGTTGAGTTAAATATTTCAATAAGCTTACTTTATTTTTGACCTTTGCAGTTTTAAATTCAAGCATATCTACATTTACAAACATTACTAATTACGAAAGGATTTTCGTAATTGATAAATGAGTCTGCAAAACTTGAAACCAGAGTCGCTAAAGAATCTCGTTTCTCATAATATTTAAATGCTTCTACTAAAACAATTTCCATATTAACGAAGATTAAGATAATATTTACGTCAACCAACAATAGTTAAGTTTGTCCCAAGACCCTAATATTGATGTATGACAAATTTAAATAAATCCTTCAAGTTTGCTAGTTACTCAAGTCTACAAAGTTTAATTCTACAATCAAAATTTCTCGCTTTAACGTAATCCTATAAGAAATCTTTCCAAAATTGTAACATTGTCTTTAGCGAAGTTTAAGCTTAAAGTAGTTGTACCTATGATTGTATATCAATTATTTTATAATGAGAAGTCGCATTGTTTCTTTGAAAGAAATTAAAAAATATCTAATAACAAAAGTTAGGAATGATCTTAATAATTATAATGATTCCATAATCGTCAATTTGGTAAAGCGAATTCAACTTTAAACACACTTAAATTTAGACTTTGTGTGGTTACAACGTTACAAATTTTTATTTCGCCAGAGGGCTCTGGCATTATCTTTGATACGTAGATGCACAATACATACTATACTATATACTATACGAAGGTGTATCTTCGAGAAAAAATCACAATAAATACAGACAAAACAATTTATTACAAAACCTTTATTGATTCGCAAACATAATTATGATTTTCTTCGTCCTTACTTAACTTCAATTTTAGTTGGTTTCCTCAGTCCTGCAAGTTTTCTGCAGAATTTTACGTAGTCAATCATAGTTGAGCCGTCATCTTGTACGATCAATGGAGCTTCATCAAGAGCATAATCAGCTTCCTTCGCGGTGAACTTGTCTCCAAAGGTCATCAGGTCGTGTCTAATCCTAGAATCAAATTCTTAAATTAATTTCTCCAACTTTTTGTTATGAAACTAGATGGTCAGAATTTTTTACCGCCTCTGAATACATAAATGTTGATTGAATTGCTCTATCAAATTATCCGTCATTTTGGTACTCATTCTAGTTAAACAATGCAAGATTTCAGACACATTTTTACAAATTAATTTGATCATTCCGATAAATAAAACCTATTCATGACACACCCCTATTGTTAACGAGCCAATTTCATAAAACCTAAACAGATTTGACGACAAATAAATATTTGGGACAAACAAAACTGTCCTAAAATACGGCAAAAATGTACACAAATTAGATAAAACAATAAATATTTTTCCTTTATAAACAATGTCGTGTTTATCATCCCAAATTGATAAAAGGGGAAAGTTCTACTCGTTTGTTTTTCTCGCGCTCTGCTTATCCAATTGGCGCTGCCATTTATATTCGTCCTTGTGTTTTTGATATAATCACATTGAACGTGATGACGAAAATATTTGTTTGTTTTAAATAAAATGATTTCTTAGTTGTTTAGTGTCCTACAAATCGTTATGATTAGAATACTCTTTGGTTAAAATTTCATATTGATAGTAGTAGCTACCTATGTCAATCTATGAAGGGGTAGCCTTCGACATTACGTGTACGTTTTCTATGCACTATTTTTAATGGAAAAGGTCTATAACTGTTAGTATGAATTTACAAAAACATTACAAGGAAAAGGAGCACGTCTTATCGAATAGAATAATTTATTTGCATTGAATGTAAGTATATAATATAAGGTCTTACAAAGGTATATCGTTATATCGTTCCTGGTACATTCTACCATATGGCATGCAATTTTTTTTAAATCTTAAAATTTATGAAAATAATAGACTATGTAAGTTATCTATAAGACTAATATAATTATTAATGAACAACATAATCCTAATAATACGTATATCGTAATTTGATCAAGAAAGTAATTTAAAGTCTTTACTTTTATATGTATAATTTTGTTTATTCAGTCCAACCAATTATAAAGGAGGCATACTTTACTGTAATCACCAGTGATCGGAAAAAGGTGAGCTAATTTACCTAAACTTCAAGGAACAAAAACAAAAAGTGGAGACTTCCTTACTACAACATTTTTTTCGGGAAAGTTCCGGTTCCAGTTTCGGGATATTTATATATAACATTTAATATAACAAAATTTTGTAGTAAGGAAGTCTCCACTTTTTGTTTTTGTTCCTTGAAGGTTAGGTAAATTAGCTCACCTTTTACCGATCACTTTTAATCACACACACTATTTATGTATGAATTTTAAATACCTTTACCTAAGAAACATAGAAGGTGCAGTTAAACCAAAACTTTTACTCCTAAGAATGTGTAAGACCATAGCAACCAAGTAAAATATGACTGTGTTTAAACGTGACTAAGCAATAAACCGTTTTTCCAACTCTCGAAGGTCGCGCGAACGAAGTCGTAGAAACAGCTTGTATGTAATAAATTTTATTTTAGCGTCTCACATTATCTCTTGGAGTTGGGAATAAAAGAAAAGCTTAGTGTATCGGAAATTTACTACCATAAGGAACGCAGGAATGTGAGACATGAAGACAAGAAGTGTATTTATTTGAAAAAAAAAACGTGTAATATTTTACAAATTTTATCTTTAGTTTATAAATGATTGAAGGGATGAAAAGCATTTTAAGTTACATTTGAGTGTAAGTTTGGGAGTACCATGCTTCGGAACGAATGGGCCGATTCGATCAGAGTGATACCACGGCCTCATAGAAAACCGACGTGGAACAACGCTTGCGTTGAATTTCGTCGTGCAGATGAGGTTACCGAAGGCCCAAATACTCCCCTCCCCAATGCCTGAATCCCAAACAATCCTTAAATTCCTAATCCCCAATAGGCCGGTAACGCACCTGTAATGCCTCTAGTGTTTCGGGTGTCGCCAAACGGATCATCGGATCATCTATTGGTGGCGCCAATCGCTCACCAATAGATGATCCGTCGGCTCATTTACCAGCTTATTAAAATAGTATGCATGGTCTTTTTGCAACTATGCTAATTCAATTTTTTGCACGGGTGAATTATAACTAATGGCATTGAGCCTTATCTTTTTGATATCTTAAAAACTAATATTTTCTTCGGATATTATTTGTCTCTTTATACTTAGATTTATTTTTTCATTGGTCTTTTTGGTGGGTTCATTTGATGATAAAAATATTCTTTACGCGAAATTGCTGCGAAATTATGTTCATACTGAATTTAGAAAGTTTGAATTAAGTATAAAATGTGCCATTTAAAGTTTTTTAGTTGAACAATTATATAAAGTTGGAACATCTGCATTTAGTGTAATTATGCCAAAACATTTCAAATAAAAATTAAACTTCTATGGTTTTAGTTCACAATTGAGTTTTACAAACTTTGTACTTGAGTAGGTATAGGTAAGTACATTTTTAATATTTTTAAATCTTAATTAGTTTTTTTTTGCTCATTTCAAAACTTGAGAGTGGTTAGACTAGACTAATATTACATAACATCACGTCATTTGTCCTCGAAGGTGTAGGCAGAGGTGAACACAGAGGTAACACCCACTTTTCACTAATTATGTTATGAGTCCCATGTAATAAGGGGTGAGCCTATTGCCATATACCGGGTACAATTCCAGACTCCGTGCTAATACTGCAACTGAGATTTTTTTTAAAACTCAGTAGTTTGCCCGACCCGGGAATCGAACCCGAGACCCCTTGCCCGGCAGTCGCACTTGCGACCACTCGGCCAACAAGGCAGACACTAGTATTCTATTTTAAAAATGCATGTTTTAATAAAAAAACAAGAGATCTTTTATCAGGTCAGTGAGTTCAAAATAACAAACAAACTGAACCGTAAAGCGGCAAAAATAGAAGTCACAATAAATCCCAAACATTAGTGTTAGTATTATCCCCGAATATTATACCAGCAATAACTTAGGCCCTTTCGGTAACAAATGCCCTGTTATAGACGAATACAAAATGTAAGGCTACATAATTCAACTTTACCGTCTACTATACGACGTACGAATGTATTCTTATACGCTTTCTCGTCAAAATTTGCTAAGGGAATTATACAAAAGCGTATCCGAGGGTTGTCGTAAAACGCAGATTGTTCAGAGAATTTTAATAAACCTTCATGGTGTTGCCTTAAATACATTTATACTTTTGCATAAAGCAGAGTATGAAATTATTTATCTTTTACATTTTGTACAACGATTTAAAGTTATACAAAACCAGTTTATCAAGGTCTCTTAAGTCAAGGGCTTTGTATGATATTTCGACGGTCAATTTATACTGGTTTTGCATAGCTTGATGTGTCGCTGTGTGTACGGTCATCTGTTATGAATATTATATACAAAGGCAAAGTTATACGGAATTTTATTGTAAGTACAGAAATAAATCTGTTCTCTTTGGATGTTTAGTAATCACATTTGATGCTTGCTTCGACGTTTTTCTCGGAAAATTTGTGTTTATTTTCATCTCACTCTTTTGTGTAGTTTAATAGAATATGGGTATTTTTCGAGCTTTGGTACTAAACTGAATTTCTACGCAACTGATGGCAGGGATAAGTTTTCTATTATATGCTCTCAAATACATACCTGATCTGTATGTGTAAGTTAAATATTATTCACTCTCAAGTTTTTTTTTCTAAATCTTTGGTAAGAACTAATAAAATCAGAAAACCGACGTGAAACAACGCTTGCGTTGTGTTTTGTCGTGTGAGTGAGGTTATGGGAGGCCCAATTACCCCCTCCCCCCTCCTCCCCAAGCTCCCGATCCCAGAATCTTCAACATCTTCCACCAACGATCCTCAAATTCCTAATTCCCAAAAGGCCGATAACAATTGCGTTACAAGTGTAACGCCTCTGGTGTTTCGGGTGTCCATTTGCGACGCCGATTGCTTACTATCAGCTGATCCGAATGATCGTTTAACGGATCATCGCATTAAAAAAAAATATCAAAAAAAGTACAATAGGTACAAACACAAAAAACAAATGAAATTCCCAAAAAAAATTACAATAAAAACACAATTCCATTCTTAAATCTCATTAAAACATTACCCAAGTTACCGTAGTAATCTGAAACAAACGTCATTTTGTTACCAAAAGTGCCCAAGGACCGTTTTAAATCATACCGAGACAGATCCCAAGAATACATCATCCGAATCTCCGTAAATGTAATTTAAATCTTGATTTGAAATATTTACTGGTCCCTTGAGTAATATAAAATTTAAACGCTACCTTTTTATGGCTATTAAGATATAATTGTATAAATCACTTGGGTTTAATTAAAATTATACCAATGATACGGGTGTTGCATGCTTTGGAATTTTCGGTTGAAAGTTGTTTTGGCGTAACTTTTGTTTGTTGGTGTATCGATATCGTGGTGGCCCAGAGGTTTAATATGCCCGTTTCTTATGCATGGGGGACGGTTTCGAAACCATCCAACGGCAAGTACCAAAGTGATATTTTCTGAGTTAAATCTATGTACCTACTATCTAAGATTACTTAGACAACACTGACAAATGGTGAAGGAAAGTGTGAAGAAACCTGTGCTGAAAATTTCTAATTATAAGTTTGAAATCGCCAACCCACATTGAGTAAGCGTGGCGATTAATGCTTAAACCTTCTCCGTGTGAGAAGAGGCCTTTCTTCAGCAGTAGGCACTTATAGGCTGTGGATGATGATGATGTATTGGTAATTTTAGGTTTATAGGTATTTGTAGGTCGTGGTGCAACGTGCCTATGTAGAATTAATTTCTTCAGTGGCAGTCTTTACTCTCATTCATAATATAAAAACGTTAGCAATCGAAAAACAATATTTCTATCTTTATAGAGGTACGCATATCGACGTATTTTTGGTAGAATAAAACTTACGAACCAAATATGGCGATTTCAGAATACGAATAGGACTGTATAAACATAAGACTGGAATTTTAGTTTGGATACAATTTTCAAAAAACTTGGTTTCGAGCCAAACGACTGACAGTAAAAGTGTAAAATAGGATTTTTAAAAAAAATTTCTCACTATTAATAAAAATTTAGCTTTACTAACAAGCGTCATTAGATACATCAAACTAATAAAATTGGAATGGAAATACAATATGTTCGTAGCTGTTGTAAAAATAATAAAAGAACAAGTTGTATTGTAAAAACATTGAAAACTTGTTCGTAGTATTTTTGGCAACGAAAAATCTGAATGTAGCTGTCTAAACTTTGTTTCGCACCATGTAACGAAGACTAGGTATTATTTGAAACAACTAATCAAAAATCTTTTCAATCAGTTTTGCGTTTTAATACAATTTTATACCTTATTATTATGTAGACAAAAACGCCTATAATACTTAGTACAAATTTGTTGACTATTTATGTCATCAAACTGACTATACTTTCTTCGTTAGCATTACCATACAACGTGGCTATACTTCCAATTTTCTGGACAGCTATTGAAAATCACTTCATTAGCTAAAACATAAATTATGTATAGTGCGACATTCAATAACAGACTTTAGGCTAAGGACTCACGGTAGATTTTTTTCTCGCGGTTGCTGTGGTTTCGGGCCTGCAGCCTTTGTGGAATACAGATATGTTTGTATGTATAAAATCAAAGCAATTTTTACGACGCGTTTTACGCCCGCGGCGGTTGCGATTGTTTGCGGCTCCTGCAAGCACCTCCGATCGTTTGGTGGGCGATCGCAATGGGATTTCCAGTCTGGACCTCAACTGATTTTTAACTTGGCGGTTGTTTGATGCAAGACGCCCGTATTGTTTGCGGACACACTTTTTTATCGCAACTGCGGCGGCTATGGGATTGTCGAAAACAGCGGTTTCGTAAATTTTGAAAATTCCGCCTCCATTTCGCCACCGCAGCGGGCGCAGGAGAAGATCCTGCTATGAGTCCAGAATCCAGTCCTAGCAATAATTTTAAGAACAAAATTGTTACTAAAGAATAGTTTAAGTGTCTCTGAGTGCGACAGTTAGTGCTTTAGAGTAGTTTAGTACTCAAATTAGGTATCAATATCAATTCTTATTCTACGAAGTTCACTTATGCTATGATTATACTATACTATATCTTCGTATGTAAAGTTTGAAGGCAAACTTTATTAGCGTCCTCAATACACTGTGGATTACACAAGTTAGCCCATTCTCAAAGTTAGCTAACTTTAGATATATGATGTACTATGTTTATTGAAGGATAGTTTCATATTTACGATCTTAGATGCGAATTTGTGGCTATCAGTATAGGTACACTGCTACATACATGCATATACCTCTAAAATTCATTATTATGTCTTTCGGCTTACTCACGCAATTATTTGTAATTTACTATGTCTAACTAAATTTATAATATACAGTTCAAAATTATTTATATTTGAGAATAGTGGAAATTATAATGAACATAGCTACAATACTAACATTTGCTTACGTAAATTAACATTAAATAATATGAATGGCGACTACATTATTCCGACCGCTGATAAAACTGTATTTTTTAACCTTTGGAGTACCGTCATTATAGACACAATTAAAGAACAATAGGTTGCGGTCACCGGTGTCTTCGCGGTGTTTGACAGTCTAAAGCATGCATCCTAATTTTGTTTGCCACACAGCTTTTCACGTAGATACGGTAGACCTTATCGGTTCATAAGTTAAAAGTGAATTTTTTAAACATTACTATAAACTTATAAAAATAATAATAAAATGTTTATTTGTCTGAAAAAAATATACATACTTATCTTCTGAGATCAGTCCACTATTGTTCTTGTCCCAGCGAGACAGTGCTGATAAAAGAGTTTCTTCCGAATCCAACTCCAGAGTGCGATATCCAAGAAGGTTGACGAAACCATCGAAATCTAGCGGATTAGGTGCCTGTGAAGAAAGAGAAAATGTAAATAATATTTTAATATCTTCTCCATAGGAATCTACATCTTGAAATGAGCAAATAACTTCAATTTAATTTAATTTATGTTGACGTTCAAAAATGCCATCCTGGTTTAATTGAAATAAATTATTTTGACTTTGACTTTGACATTAAAATACTTGACATTAGGTACGCCATCTACAAAAAGTAAGGCATAGCTAATTATGTTTTCAGTTTTACATGGTTAGGACCTAAGCCTCTCCTACGGGTAGGATTCAAAATCTCAATTTTGAAAACCAAATAATACTTTACTTGACTTGTAAATCAAATTTTTTGGTACTAGTCGGATCGACGTTTAAAAGCGCCTTCCTGGTGTAATTGAAATAAATGATTTTGACTTTGACTTTGATCCAGCGAAATTTGCACTGGGTAGGCATTTAAAAAACCACATAGAAAAATACTTTGCTGAAAAGCAGCTTTTTACTCGTCAATAAAAGAGAGGTTTTCGTTAAATTTATTTTAAATGCTCGTCCTCTTTTTAATCCGGTTGGAAAGCGGAACGCTCGAGGAGGTACTAATTAGTACAGTGATAGGTACTGATTAAATGCGGTTTACGTTCATTACTTGAATGTTAGGATTGAATTTTATTAATTGTGTTGTAAAACAGTATTTTTTATTTATTTACATCGATAAACTGTGATTCCTCATATTTTACTTCAGATTGGACTGCCTCGTTGGCCGAGTGGTTGCAAGTGCGACTGCCAGGCAAGGGCTCTCGGGTTCGATTCCCGGGTCAGGCAAAATATTTAAAAAATCAGTAGTAACACGGTGTCTAGAATTGAGCCTGGTATATGGCAATAGGCTCACCCCCTATAACATGGGACGCATAATATAACTAGTGAAATGTGGGTGTTAAGTTGTACAATGGCATTAAGTACCGTAGTGTGCACCTCTGCCTACCCATTCGAGTATAAAAGGCGTGATGTTGGGTTATGTTATGTTATTGGACTGAAGATATAATATGTATAATTCCCACTTCATCGTAATATAAAAATAGAATACCATATTTAACATCAAAAAATAATAAAACAAAATAAAAAAATAATCCCATAATACTCAAAGATCAAAATTTAAACAGATTACAGCGTTAAGTCAAGATTAACGCAAAAAAATAATTTGAAACAATTGACGAAGAAAAATGGGGGAACCAAATCTTCGGGATACAGGAAAAATGTACGGTAATGCAGAAAAATGTACCGAACAGCGACCTAGACAAGAGAATTTAAATTTGATCCATGAAAGTAGAGAGGGCCGAGGGCAAATCCCTGTGACCTCGTCAGCGCTGTGGATTGACACGAGCTTAAGGGCCTCTTTCGACAGAACCACGAAACTTTACTAACAATACTTAAATAGAATTAAAAGAAAAGCAAAGTTTCGTAGCTGTTTTAAGAGCCTCCTAATAAATGGGCTGTTGTTTTATTATGATTGGTTCAGTTGTATCGTTTAAGTTTCTGTTAATTGTTCTTTGAATGTAATTAAGAAGTACGTGTGGTTCTGTTTATTGTTCATTGAGTCTGTTAAAAGGTCAAGGGCCTTTACTAGGAGTTATTAGGATGGATTTGAATATCAAAATCCAAGAATAAGAATTGTAAACGCAACAGAATTGCAATATTTTTTATTTTTATAATAACTATCGTGAGACATACTAAATTAACTAAAATCACGGGTTACTCACATGAATATACTGAGAAAAGCTCTACTAGTTTCAGTGAGCTGCGCGACGTCGCCGCGACCGCGCACGCTGCTCATGAGGAAGAACCCCTCTGTGGTTCGAAACTAGTAGAGATTTTCTCAGTATATTCACGTGAGTAACCCGTGATTTTAGTTAATTAAGATTGCAATAATTACGCCTAATGATTCAAAAAGACAAACAACGTTGTATTTTTAAATTCAACGATAATACAACTAGCTGGGAATTGTTCCACGAACGTAACAAACAAACGCACTTTGTATATACGTAACTTATACGTAACCTCACTGTACTTCGTCCAACGGCCAACTTCCAACACAAAGTTTGGCCACCTGCCGTTTGTACTTAGCTACGTCTACACACAAGTCCCACCAACATTTGCCTACTGACACAGATGCCAGTTGGCTAATTGTCTATGCGCTTACAATTTATGGTTCCTTTGTGCATATATCAAGTGTTGGATAGTTGTAACCACAGATGTTGGTTCTCCATAATGCGTCTATACTATATCTTAACGCTGTAATGTTATAGAACTCGTAGTTTACTCGCAGATGTAAAGGATAGAAGGTTATTCTCTTTCATTAAAAAATACGGTAGCCAATTTTGAGAACTATAATAGCATAGCGAATCATTTTTAAAGATGTAAAGAGGATAGGTAGTATGATTTTACATTATCTTGACCGTTTTGCAGGACTGTATCCGAACAACGATGACTCGACCACCGTTCTAGTCAAAATCCACTCAATAAAATCCGAATTCCAAAAATCCAAACAAAGTAGTTCAGCTCAGAATTCACACACAAAACCAAACAGTTACTTGTGAATATAAAACCAATTGAGTTCATTCAATACATATTTTAGACTAGCTGTTGCCCGCGATTTCGTTCGCGTAGAATATGAGTTTTAGGACATAACGTTTTAATATTTCAAAATAAAATTAGCTTATGTTACTTGTTCAAATTTTTTAAATACAATTTGCCTATGTTACTCCTTAGTATATCAGCTACCTGCCAGTAAAAGTTCCGTCAAAATCGGTCCAACCATTTCATGACTAGCCAGTACAAAAAAACAGACCAACAAAAATTCTAAAAAATACATTATATTTTAGTATATTCATATGCATATAGTAAAAAGCAATTATTTCAAAATTACAAACAGACACTCCAATTTCATTTATCTGTATAATATTCTCACAAGTATATTACTGCAGTAACAGCCAAGGATAGGTAAATTTCACTACACCGAAATTACTACACGTTATATTACTATATACTGTATGATTGTATGTACCTAGTCTGCACGTTCACTAATGAAACCCGTATGATATAGCTTTAAATGTTCCTAATGTCTTAAGTGCAGTATTGCATCTAAATTGTAATGGTGCCATATACTGGTAGTTACAAGATTATATTATTATTGGTACAATTGTGTTAGGGCTTGTTTACGGAGATGCGGCGCGATGAGCGACGCGTTGCGCGTTCGTCGTACATTGCCATGTGATTTGTAATTGCGCGTGCGATGACTCGGCCCGCTGCTGCAATGTACGACGAATGCGCCACGCGTCGCTCATCGCGCCGCGTCTCCGTAAACAAGCCCTTAGTGAACCTAAGGCGGAGTAGCTACTATATTATAGCGTAACTCGCTTTTACTTGCGGCTTTACCCGCGTGGAGATCGGTTATCCATGGGAGCATTTAATCGAAATCAAAAGTCCTACCACGTAAGTCACCCCATACCCTGTCTGTATACCAAATTTCACCAAAATCCATTCAGTAGTTTCAGCGTGATTGACGGAGAAACATCCAAAAAAAGAAAGTTTCACATTTATAATATTAGTGTGATTATGCTGTAAGTTAATGGTGACAGTGAATTAAAATAAAATAACTGGTTAATGTGTCTATTTGATAATATAAATATTAAAGAAAAGGTTTTGTATTGTAGAAATAAAAATAATTAATATTTAAGACCGAGAGCCATTACGTCGCCGTTCAGCATGAATTCAAATGTAATGCAAGTAACGTCATACGACATTCCAAATCAGCATTATCTTCTTCACTTGAACATTCCTTTAAACATTTCCAATAGTTAATTATTATGTTTTCTTATTTATATGAGCCTATATGAGCCTCTATAGTAGCTTGAAACTAGTCGAGTTCCTCATCAAATAGTTACATATAAATATAAATTTCCAATTTATTCATTAATCTAACAGAAATAAATTCAAAATTAAATATTTTAATCATCATCCTTAGTACCTATACCTCTACCTTTTTTTTTTTTTTTGAGGTGGGAAAATCATCCAATGACTTCTCCCGCCTGGGTGAGGCGGGAGGGAGTGTCAGACTCTTACTGACTAAAAACCACCCCGTTCCTACTCCTGCACTTCGAGCCGGAGCCCCGGCAACCCGTTAAGTCTTCCGCGGCTTCGTATCGGCATCAGCCTTGTTAGGCCCCATCTGTGGTGGTCTGATGGCTCCTTGAGGCGCGCGCGGAACGCAACGCGCCGTACGCTCGGGCCTGGTTCTGGTCGGGCGGCGAGTCACCCATGCTCGCCGTCCGCAGGCCCGTGCTTACGGTGGCCGGAGATCGTCTCGCGATCCCCGACGCCCGGAGTGTCTCTCGCGACGGCCGGGTCGTGAGGAGGTTCGTTCCCTCACGCGCTCCGCCTCCTCCTTAGCTAGCATGACTGCTTCGCAGAAGGAGGAGACGGCATCCTAGTCCCCCTCGCTCCGTACCATGGTCTGAACCAGAGCCGGACGCGAGAGGTCGCCGTCGCCGATCACATTTCTGAGGACACGGCGGTGCTCAGTCCACGCAGGACACACCGCCACCGTATGCTCCACCGTGTCCTCCGGGCGATCCTCGCAGTGATGACACCCGGGCGTTTCCTCCCGCCCAATCCGAAACAGGAACCTACCGAAACTTCCGTGTCCGGTAAGCACCTGCGTCAGGTGGTAGGTGAGGACGCCGTAGCGTCTCTCAAGCCACTCCTCAAAGAGGGGACTTACCGCTGCAATGACAGCGAGCCCAACCTATACCTCTACCTGAATTAAGCGTAATACTACGTAATGAGAAATACCTACATTACGCGGCAAAAAGATTCGAGATAACGTGAAAATAACACCTCCAAAAATATAACTGAATAACCTTGAGAATATTCATATTTTCCTGTTCCATATTTTTGAAGATATTATCTCCTTCATGTTTTTTAATTTTCATAAAATATTTCTTTAATTGCTATACAGATATATTATTGCTGACGTACAGTGATTTCACTAGTAATATGGATAGTGTAGGTAGTTTCGAGCAAGTGATTCTGGACTCTATTGAACAGAATTAAAACCTGGTTTACCCGTCTCTAAATCCGGTACACAGTACCTAATATTAGACAAAGAATATGTAACTAAGGGAATGTTTTGTAAACCTAATTGAAAATGATCAACCTATGGAGTTTCCAGTTCGCCCTTCTCTAAAAGAATCTATACCTTGGAATGACCAAATAGCGTCATTTTTATTTAATTTTTTTGTTGACGTCACTGTACCTTCTTAATAAAATTATTTAGATTTTGACTTTGACTATGATTTAAACCTAATCTTTTATTGCCTGTTATTTCTTTTATTGAAATAGAAATATTGCAAAACGAAGTATTTTAAGCACTTCTGACCGTTTTGAAAGTGTGGCTATTGAAAACCTTTTCTTCTTAATAAAATACGTACCTACCTATAATGACTTTAATCTGTTATGAATTCTCTCTACTATGTATAATTACCTCAGTAAGCATGCTTCGTATAGCGTTCTCATCGATCTTATCTCCAAGACTGACCAAGGTGGCTCGAAGATCACTGAAGTCGATACAACCATCGCCATCCATGTCAAATAGTAAGAACGCCTGGAAAATAAAAGAGATAGACTAAGTATTGATGTGGTTAAAGTAGTTCTAAAAACAATACATACAATATATCATTAATTAAAATATATAACTGGGAAAGGAGTGGTTCAAAATTCAGACAAATGGTCATGTATATCTATTTCAATTATTGTAAATTCGTTCAGTATTTAGAAATTGATTCGCTTTCGATTGCGAAGAGAACTATTAATATAACTGGGAAATGCAAATAGACACTTACCCATATTTATATACCTGTAATATTATTAGAAATTTGCTCTGATATTCATTAATTGATCAAGAAAACCACATATCAAATCACAGTACAATACCAAACATTTAAGTGTGGGAGAGCCATTCTTTGGCACGAATGGGCTGGCTCGACCGGAGTTATACTACGACCTCACAGAAAACTGACATAAAACAACGCTCGCGTTGTGTTTCACCGTGTGTGTGAGGTTACCGGAGGCCCAATTACCCATAATCTCTCCAATCCCTGAAATCTCTAACAATCCTCAGACTCCTAATCCCCAAAAGGCCGATAATGCACTTGTAACGCCTCTAGTGTACCAGGTGTCCATGGACGACGCCGATTGCTTACCATCAGGTGATCCGTATGCTCGTTTACCGGCTTATACCTCTACCATAAAAAACAACATATACTTTACAGCAAATAAAATTCCATAGCTATACCTCTTTTAGTTCAAATATTTTATTATCGTCGAGTTCAGCTATAACATTCGCTGGTAGACAGAGCGCTTCCCTGGCTTTAGAAGCTGAACGGGATCTCGGTTGCTGTGGGACAGTTAGGTCGTTCCCACTCTCCGATATAATAGAACTGGAAAACAAAATGTTATTACGAAATAAACTTTCGTCCCACTTCTAGTTTTGTCACGAACTGATATTTGAAATAACATGTTTTTGTTCGAAAGGAGTGTTATGAAACTTTTTGTATTGATATAATATATAAAATATAACATAACATCACGCTTTTTATCCCCGAAGGATGAGGCAGAGGTGCACATTACGGCACTTACTGCCACTGTCCAATATAACACCCACATTTCACTATTTATGTTATGAGTCATGATCATCATCGATGCAATAAATGTACAGGATGCAACTTTTACAGATTTTAGTTGGTTTGATTACCGTGTGCGGCAAGCGAATTATAAAATCTTTGAATGTAGATTTCTTTCTTTTCTAAAATAAAGGAATGTTTTCTTTGAGTCAAATTTTCTATCTTCAGTAATAAGAGTACTTGCCCTACAGGTGGCATTACAAAATTCCACCCTGTATACAAATCAAACTAAACTTTCTTCTATTTTTGAAGTAAGTTAAAAAAAATAGAATACAATAGGATCTTTTTGTTATGAAACACTCAGAAGAAACAATAGGTACATTAAATTATTAAAAAATGTCCATCTCTTAGATTTAATATTCAACCTAGCACCCTTCAATCACGCTCCAATAAAGACATTTTACAGCGATGAAATAGCTTTTGTTAAGGCACGGAAATTAAAAATAAAAGATTTTTTTTTTTGATGGATGGGCAAACAATTTTGAAATACATATTTACTTATTGTATTTTGTTAAATGAAAGTTTGATGTTTTATTGGCACAGACAGATACAATTTCACAAATTATTTTTTAATAAGTACTTCTTTTGAATTTGTACGTGAAGCATATACAGTTATAAAATGTCAGTATGTTAATATATTTCATTTTTCAACAGAAAGGTACAGAGAGACATCCCTATAATAATAGTATACAGTCATTATGTATTTCAAAACCTTCATATTTCATATAATTTGATTAGATGCAATTATCAAATTATTGAAATTAATTGAAATAATTTGCCACACATACGTTTTAAATAGAGCCAATTTACTGTCATTAGCCATTCACAAACGCCATTTCGTTATTAGATGAAAATTATCAATAATATCATTTTAGGTAGTAATGTTATGAATCAAAGAGAGCTTTTATCGGCAAAAATATTATTACGAGACTCCATTGACAGAATAAATTAAAGATAGAATATGTTATTAAATTAAAGTGAAGTAAATAAAAATAACTTGATAGAAAAACTAAGTATATGCAATACTTACTCTCCATTAGTCAACGATTGCAGAAGATTTTCTTTAAATTTCTTTATGTCGTCTTTAGCATCGTCCGGCTTGCTACGGCGACGCTCCCCTTTTGATCCCCTCTGGAAACACAATACACTTTGTAAAGCCGCAGTTTAATGGGAAGAACACTTTCATCCTATTATACCATATTAAAAACTTTGCCCCTGTTTCACAATAAAAAGAATCTCAAACAATAAAAAACCCTCAAAAACTTTGGTTCTAGTAAACCGATTACAATCACCAATAAAATATTAATTTTGAGCTTGAAGTGACCGGAAAAGATAACATTGGTGACTTCCCTAACTCTCCAGTCACAAAGAGAAGAGAAATTACTTGTCCAAACTTTGTTCACAGTTTAATTTACAAAGGCTTCAAACATTGTGTTCACAGTATTTATATTACGTTTAGAATAAATGTATTATATTTTAGCGGCTTAGAAAGAGATTACTTTTAAATTGCTTACTCTCTTGGCGCTGCCGTTCGTATCTTGTTCTGCCATGTTATTAAAAGTCTTCCAAACCGCGAATTTTTCTGAGCCTAGAGTGTTCTATACGTGTTTCCGCCGTGCCGACTAAAGCAAGAATTGTAACTACACGTCAAGAATATTAAATTTACATTGCATTTTCCGTCAGCCGAGTTAATTATTTATTTCGGACGGATGCACGCAGATCTCGAGATTAGTCGTGATGTTGGCCTCAACTAATTAATCTTTGGGGCAAAACTGCTTTAAGATTTCCAGGTCAACGAGTCGTTGCAACGTTTACGTGTTTGTAGCTGAACGCCGAACTGAGGAGGGTAGCTCGCTTAGTATTGTTTGTGTTTATTTTGGCAATATGTATGCTTAATGTTCTGAATTTAGCGGCCATTAGTGTGAGGCTTGCAATCCGGCAAATATACATTTATCCGATTTACCGCAGAAATTTGCTGTTTGATTTCTCTATGGATTAGCTTGCCTTAATTTTCATTATTAGTAGCAATATCGTAATAAGCAAATACGGTATCTTACCCGGCATTAATATTAAATTTTGTGGCATCTCCTGTTAATCTAATCTCATCTAATCTTGTATGGATACACATGTTGGCAGGAGATCAAAAATGAATAACGACAGTTAATTCCAGTGATATGACCAGGGTAGTCAAATAAATAATATTTTACGACCCAGAAGGAGCGGTAATGATTTCAAAAATAAGTGTGTCAACATTTACACCTGGTACATAATAAACCGGGAGATTTGAAAATTTACGGTAAATAAACTTGCGAAATGTACTTTACGCGTAAAGTAACGCATCAGAAACTCAGAAGTATTAGAAGTGTCATATATTTTACTATATTATGCAAATAAAATATATTTTATACCTAGCTGAATTTAATGTATTTGTAAATTTACAGAAATGATGTTGTAAATATCTGTTATTTTAGGTTTAAAAAACCTGAATTCTAATTTAGTATGACGTGTAGATTTGCTTCCTAAGAATCTTAGTGTACAAAGTCATTACACCGTCTACTTTTTACATCCTATGATCAGCTAAATAAACGCGATCATGCAAATACGGCAGCGTCTCAAGTAAATCAACTGCGGCGAGGTAATCCGCACCCCGAACAGGTGTAAGTGGGTTTTTAATCAACTACAAATGCAACGGTTTAGGAGAGTCTAAATGAGATTCGTGTAGGGCTGTCTCGCCTCAGATTTTTAGTTACATGTCATAATTTTGCAAATTCTTAATCTGGAAATGGAGTAGATCTATACTATATATATGTCGCGGAGAACCTAAAGGGGAACCGGGGCTTCGGCTCGACGTGCAGGAGAAGGAACGGGGTAGTTTTTAGTCAGTATGAGTCTGACACTCCCTCTCGCCTCACCCGGGGGGGGAGAAGTCATTGGATGATTTCCCCCCTCAAAAAAAAGCCACATGACGTCCACTGCTGAACATAGGCCTCACCCAATCCTGAAAATAATAACCGATCTTAATCGTAACAGGGATGATATTAATATGGATCGATTAAAAATAATAATGGACAACAATATGGATACGATTTCAGCTGACAAAAACTCCATATAACTATCGTCAAAGATCTGAACTTATGCACAGATTTCGAATTGAGGTAGGTCATTAATGTAATTTAATGTGTACTCATTACTTTCACCATTCCTAGTTTATCGTAGACTGAAATAATTAGTTCTAAGTTTGTCAACCTAAATGAGCTAAGACACGCAAGATCATAAATTGTGTTGAAAATCAAAATAATGATTACTCATGTACCTTAGTCATGGAGTACATTTTATATAATGTTTCTGAAAGCAAAGGTTTTAATTAACTACGTACATGCGAACAAAGCGAAATGTCTGATATGACTGATGAATCGGTTTTAATATGTAAAGGAAGATTTCAAAGTATTCCATACGCTTTTAAATTTGTACTCTGTGTGCAAAAGAGTTAATTGACCGTTTTTTGCTGTATATAAATAGTCATACATTCATTCATTGTAAGTATTATAAATATTATTTGATTAACAAAAATGAAACTTTGTACATCGGAATTTGAGTAAATTTTCCTAGAATAATGATTTGCCTTTATTAAATGAACTTCATGTTTTCACAAAAATATGCTGTAGTTTTGCCGAATTTACTTTGCATTTACAAAATGCCAACCATAAGTATAATATTTACCGTTTAAATATTAAATGACAAAGATAACCCATTAATATTAACTATGAAAAATAAAAGATGACGTCATAATTATGGTACAGATGATGATACATGTTAAGTGTAGGAGAGCCATGCTTCGGCACGAATGGGCCGGTTCGACCACAATAATACTATGGCCTCACAGAAAACCGACGTGAAACAATCCTTGTTCCGTTATGTGAGGCCCAATAACCCCCCCCCCCCCCACAATCTCCATAATCCCTGAATCTCCAACAATCCTCAAATTCTTAATCCTCAGAACGCTCAGTAACGCACTTGTAACGCCTCTGGTGTTCCAGGTGCCCATGGGCGACCGCCGATTGCTTACCATCAGGTGATCCGCCTGCTCGTTTACCGGCTTATCCCATAAAAAACATGATATTTCAAAGTACACTAAACATTTTTAAGTTCATAATTCATGACGTCACGTTACACAAATGTTTCTCATTATTTATTGACTATCTCTGCTTTACATAACGTGCCAGCCCTAAGCACGAAAGTGATCCAGAACGAAGGAAGGCAAGGAATTGGGATTGCACTTAAGTTTCTTTGGCATTCGAACACCGCAATTTATTTTTATAAGAACGATTGAGGGTTTTCGATGTTTGCTTTCTTTAAGTATCAAGACGTTGGGTAATTTATATTTACTTGGCTCGCGAGATTAACTTTTCGTTTTTTTTTTCTCTTTGATTACGATTATAATATATAATTAAAGATTTATTGACATTAAATAGGTCGTAGATACCTTTTATTATCTGTTGAAATGGTTCTTCATAGGCAACTTAAGAAAATTTCAAAGGAACTGGATGGTTCCATTCGTAGCGTTTATTTTAGTTATCGTGTGTATTAAGTATCGTCAATGACAACAGAGCTTGTATTTATACACTGTAATACCAAAGGTATCAAACGTGAGTTGATATTTTAAGACTTACTTAGTAAAATATAATAATACATAATACTGCCTCATTAAGCGAGTAGTCGCAAATGCGACTGCCGGGCAAGGAGTCTTGGGTTCGTTTCCCAGGTCGGGCAAGGCATTGCTGGGTTTTTTTTTATTCTCAGTAGTAGCACGAAGTCTGGAATTGTGCCCGGTATTAAAAGTGGAATAGTGAAAAGTGGGTGTTACATTACCTAGTAAGTATCTCTGAATATCATGTTACTTATTGATGATATCGAGAGATGAGGCTTAATTGCATACGAAGGATATTATTATTGTTAATTAGGTGTTATGTTACACTATAATATTGTTAGTTATCGCGCCTGGAACGGCTTCACAGTTAATTCTATTAATATGTAGATTTGGTAGGAAAAATATATCATCATAGTTTGCGTAGAATTACATTTAATAATAATTTTTGCATCCTCTATATTTAATACCTTTATACGAGCAATTATTGTATAATTTAAAATCAACAATCTCGGAAACAGCTCCATCGATTTTCGTAAATTTTTGTATTCAGAGAGTTTTGGGGGCGATAAAGCAATCTGGATAGGTTTTAATTTAAAAAGATGTCGTTTTGTCCGTATTTTCATTGAATAAAAGTCCTTATTAAAATACGATGTTTAATTATGATAGTCAGGAGACCAGGTGCGTTCCACGGCAGGACGCTCGGGTGTCAGGAGAAGACATGTTTTCTATTTTATGTTTTGTTCTAATTTCTTGTCTATATTTTTTCTTTTTTTTCTAATAAAAGATATGTCTGTATGTCCTAAAAACAACACTGAGCCAAGCTCGGTCATCCATTTTCCTTTGATTTTTAAATCTAGTGACCTATGTAGTACATAATCTCCTTCACGTCCACGTGAAGGTTTATTTTCATAAGAAATCAAATCAAATGAGCAAAAAAATTAATCTTTTCAAAAGAAATGAAAAGGCTTCCCTTGATACTTAAAAAACAATATTAAATTATCAAAACCCTGAACGTTAATTACTACCTAATTATTTTGACTTGGTTTCAGGGATGAGACATAAGCTTCTTCCAGATTTCCTCTAACAATTTTAATGAATAAATTCGCAACCTTTTCCTTTTCACCCCAATCAAATTCTCCCGTTGTTCCAAATAAGGGTATCACTTAATCTCCTTGAAAACATTTTGAGTAACGCAAATGCTTTTAGTTAGATGTCTTAAGCCTTACATTTTACAAGCAATCTGCAATACTAAGTGGCATTGATGCCATGTAATCTCTGACGTACTTTACGGATTATTTTGTACTACATGGAGTCTTCGGTTGGGAATGCTGTAAAAATGCATAGTGGAAACGTACTGCATTGTTGCTTTAAGACTAATGTTTTGGTTTCTTTTTGTTTGATCATATTTTTTATTGATTTGTGATTTGATTCTATATGCATTTACGGTGATCTGCTATTGAATATTTTAGTTGCTTTTTAACACGTTCGAGGACGCTACCACTTGAGTCGGGTTTTCAAAATGACACAGTACATGTCTATACAAAATTATACGACGTATCAGTACGTAGTGTCCCATGAAGAAATATCGTTTTAAACATATCATGACACAACCGTTTTATCACGTCAACGTGTATATGCATCTAGGTAAGGATCCGCCTCGTTGGAGATGTCGGAATCATCAAACATGCTTATCTTGTGTCTTATTTTGCGCTTATATCCATCTAAAACACACAATAACCCATTAAACATCAATTTCACACTGTAAAATCATTAATTTGCATTAAAGTAATGTACACAGTGACACAGCCGCGCTGAATGTAGGAGCGCGGGACGTATAAACACGTTGTGCGTATGTGAATACCGTAACCGCACACTATCAACGACACTTATTTTAAATAGTTCTAAACTTACCCTACGTGACAGTACAGAGTTGGGTATTTTATATGTTGTGACACAAGATACATTTAAAAGGATTTTTACTTGAACTTTCATC